AGGACAGAAAAGGAGAAGAAGAGGAGGAGGAAAGGAGAAGAGGAAGAGAAAGAGGAGAAGAGGTGGAAGAGAAAGAAAGAAGAAAGAAGAAAAGAGGTGGAGGAAGAAAGGAGAAAGGAGGAGGAGGAGGGAGAGGGAGAAGATGAAGAAGAAAGGAGGAGGAGGTGGAGAAGAAGAAGAAGAGGAGGAGGAGGAGGAGGAGGAGGAGGATGGGGAGGGAGGAGAAGGAGAAGGAGGAGGGAGGGGGAGGAGAAGGAGAAGGAGAGGAGAAGAAGAAGAAGAAGAAGAAGAAGAAGAAGAAGAAGAAGAAGAATGAATGAATGAATGAATGAATGAATGAATGATTAGACACCCAAGGAGTTTGCCTCTGGTGCAGAAGCTGTCAGTGCACATTCAGAACAACCGATTAGTAATCATCACCATAATGATGCCACTAGGAGAAGGTAGTGGAACAGATGAGAAGGATAATAGTAACAATATGCGATGTGGGTAAATATACTTAGTCATAAAACAATGTCGTGAGGATTAGGGGCTCAGCAGAGTGATGGCACGAGAGAAAAAAAAAAACCTCCACTGCCTTTGTGTCTAGTTGTTTTGGCACGCGGTGCCCTGTGCAACACCGCCCTGAGAGGAAGAGGTTGGACCCGCTTACGTCCAGGAGGTGAGGGGTGCTGTAGATCCTTCCACCACCCTCCTTCTGACCCCTCACCGTCTCCAGTGCAGAAGGCAGGCTGGTTGCTTCTTGGATTACGAGGGAAACTTTTTTTTCAAGGTGGAAAATAAAAAAAGAGAAACCACCGCAGAGAATCCAGTTGCCTTTTGGAAAAGCACCTGAATGAGCGAGGTCCCCATAGCTGAGGGGCTGCCCCAAAGAAAAGGAAAAAAAAAGGGTGTGTGGGGGAGGAGGAGGATTCAACCTATTTTCCAAAGCCCCCCCAAAAGGTTGAGAAACAGTCCTGGGAATTAAGGGGCCTCCGGAAGTGGCTTTTATCCTTCCGTTGAATTGCGACTCAGACGCTTCTTAAAGCCGCCAGGTTGAGAAACACGCAGCTCGAGGACTGCGCTGACTTTAGCGTGCCAGACACAGGAGCCCGTGGGCACGTAAGGTGCCCACCGGGCCACTGACAGCCATTCTTAACAACGAGGGCAAAATAACTTCCCTGAGACTCGTCTGTAGAAGAACCACGTTGGAAGGGACCTTGGAGGTCCTCTAGTCCAACCCCCTGCTCAACCAGGGGGCCCTATAGCATTCCAGACAAGGGGCTGTCCAACCTCTTCTTAAAAACCTTCAAGTTGAGTACCCACAACTTCTGAAGGCAAGCTGTTCCATCCACCCACCCATCCATCCCTCTACCTGTCATTTTATCTCTCTCAGAATCGTAGAATCACAGGAAGGGATTTTGAAGGTCTTCTAGTCCAACCCCCTGCTCAAGCAGAAATCCCCAGACAAATGGCTGTCCAGTATCTTCCCTTCCAGCTCTATTCTAATACATAGATATAGATAGATAGATAGATAGATAGATAGATAGATAGATAGATAGATAGATAGATAGATAGAAATGGATAGAGTTAGAGATAGGTAGAGAGATAGAGAGATAGATAGACAGATAGAGATAGAGAGATAGAGATAAAGATAGATTGAGATAGAGATAATTAGAT